GTACAAACAGACAATTATTCAAATGCAATATTAGACCACTAGGTAGAGATAAACTATAGGTTCCGACGGCCAATGCATAGACGAGTGCGCCATTGCCGACTTTTAGTTGTATCTCTCCCTCCGTCAATTGTCTACATTCATGCAAGTTCTGCATAGAAGTACAGATGTGAGAACCACATCCAGTATCCATCACCCAAGATGTGATATCAGACATATTGACTTCGATAACGTAAATACCTGAGTTTTGGGGTTGACCGTGGTAAAGGTCTCTTAAGCATTGTATCATAGGACGCACTTCCATGTCCGCGTGGAACCTTTGGAGCTCCGCGGTCATACTGGCCATAATGATACACTTTACATCTCGCGCGTCGTCCTCATACTTCTTGAAGGAAGTGAGTTCGGACGCACGAGCATTAGCATCAGGGGTCTTGGGAGGATCCATTTCGAGGATGTAGAGTTTCCTCTCACAGTTAAGAACGATTCGGAGGTTCATTTCCCAGTCAAGAAAGTTGGTCCCGGATAACTTGTTGTTTTCCAGGATGTAACGCAGGTTGAAAGGGTTGTTGTTTGCCATCTACAGAAAATTTTGCAAACTAGGTTATTTATCATGTTTAATAATTAATTAGGCCTTTAATTAATTATCTCCCACTATTTTTAACAAATCAATAACCCTCGATATTGATTCGGAGATTTCCGGCGAAACCTCTAGTGGGCCAAGATCCATATTTCATTATCTTGCGTTCCGCTTGGGCGTTACTCCACAAGACAACTATTTAGGTAGGAACATAGTTCCAACTGATGAGCCGGGCTCTCAGCTCTTGGTCTGGTGTTGGGCGAACAATATTACTACAACCGGACCAGGACACCTTTTCACCATACTTGTAATTGGCTGAGGCACGTCTTACAAGCAGACTACTTTGGTTAGGAATAGAGTTCCAATTAAATCATAAAGATCCAACTCCTGGCTGGATGAGTGAGTAAAATCATCCGACTTGTCATTGATGACCCCAACTTACTGCCTCTGAGTCGTCCATCCATTTGACCGAGACTCAGTTAAGTCTAACCCAACGTGCGA